CTCACACTCATATACACACTCATAAACACTCACTCACACTCACTCACGCACACTCATATACACACTCATAAACGCACACTCATGCACACTCATATACACATACTCATAAACACTCACTCATACACACTCATACACATACTCATAAACGCACACTCATATACACACACTCATAAACACTCACTCACACTCACTCACGCACACTCATATACACACTCATAAACACTCACTCATGCACACTCATATACACGTACTCATAAACATTCACTCATGCACACTCATATACACTCACTCACATACACTCATATACACTCACTCACGCACACTCATATACAAATACTCATAAACATTCACTCACGCACTCTCATATACACATACCCATAAACACTCACTCATGCACACTCATAAACACATACTCATAAACACTCACTCACGCACCCTCATATACACTCACTCACATTCACTCACGCACACTCATATACACTCACTCACGCACACTCATATACAAATACTCATAAACATTCACTCACGCACTCTCATATACACATACCCATAAACACTCACTCATGCACACTCATAAACACATACTCATAAACACTCACTCACGCACACTCATATACACTCACTCATGCACACTCATATACACACACTCACACTCATATTCACATACTTATAAACACTCACTCATGCACACTCATATACACTCACTCATAAACACACTCATAAACACTCACTCACACTCACTCACGCACACACACACTCATAAACTCACTCATAAACACTCACTCGCACACACACACTCACGCACACTCACACGCATCAGTAGAGCTGAAGTCTGCAGACCAGTCGCTCATTTCTGTGTTTGCAGGCTCTCTTCCACGGGAAGTTCATCGATACCGGCTTCTCGTTGCCCTTCTACAAGCGCATGCTCAATAAGAAGCTGATCTTGAAGGATCTGGAGTCAATAGATCCTGAGTTCTATAACTCTCTCATCTGGATCAGGTACGTCTGTCTGGTTATTATAAACCGTCCTGACCTTTTGAATGTGAAAAACGGCTAGCAAGTGCATCGTAGCGCTAGAGTTCCCCTCTTCAGTTTTCACAAATCCATGACCTGGAATGATGAGGTCAGAGGTCACAGTAAACGTTTCTACAGAAGACTGATCGTCGCTCATGTGATTCTTTCGCAGAGACAACAACATCGAGGAGTGCGGCCTGGAGATGTACTTCTCAGTGGACATGGAGATCCTGGGCAAAATCACGTCTCACGACCTGAAAGAAGACGGCGCTGATGTCCTGGTGACGGAGGAGAATAAAGAGGAGTATATTGGGTAAGAGTTGCAGCAGCCGCTGTTACGCCTGTTTCACACCGCAAGCGTAAGTACAGCGTCACGTCAGCTGCAGACTCAACAGAGTATTCGCACTGGAAGCCTTTGTACAGCATCACAGCAGCGGCTCCAAAGCTGCATATTTCTTTACAAAGAAACTACAAATTTGTTTTTAGAAGTTGGTCAGTTATAAACTTTAAAGTCTTGAAAGTTTGTTAACCTGGGGATTTGCATGTTAATGCAGGTTTTCATATATAAAAGGTAAACAATAAAAACAGCTAAGATCATGTTGTTTCAGTCATACTTCGATATAGAACGTGCTGTTTTAAATGTTTTTTTTTTTTATATTACACAATACTTTAACCCAAACTGAACAATTTTCAGAAAAAAACAAGCTTAAATGGATAAATCTTATATACATATTTTTGATTCTTCCTTTAGTTTTTTTTGACATACTCCAATTCTTGTTAAAACACTCTAGACATAGGCTACTTATTGTGTGCATTTTTTAGCAATTTTTGTGTGAAATCATATAAATTTTTGTCCATCAAAAGTGTACTGTCACTTTATTTGAGCGTGAGCAGTGCAGCTAAAAATAGACTCAGCGCCGAAACCATTACTCACACGCTGCTCATGCGACGCTGCTGCTTGACACTCACGCTTTAGGTGTGAAACTGGCTTTAGTGTCCCGTGTTCCTGTGACTGACGGTCTCTTCTGTCCCGCAGGCTGATGGCCGAGTGGAGGTTTTCTCGTGGAGTTGAGAGTCAGACCAAAGCGTTCCTGGACGGCTTCAACGAGGTGGTGCCGCTGCAGTGGCTGCAGTACTTTGATGAGAAGGAGCTGGAGGTGTGTTAGCGGTTTGTTTGAGCCGCCTGAACCCGTCTGAAGCTCTCGGTGACAGACGCTTCTGTGTTTGCAGGTGATGTTGTGTGGCATGCAGGAGGTGGATCTGCAGGACTGGCAGAGGAACACAGTCTATCGTCACTACACACGCAACAGCAAACAGATCATCTGGTTCTGGCAGGTGTGAGACACCTCTGACTTCACTAGTGTCTTTTCAGAAGGTCTCGTATGAAAGCACCACGGCTCCTTTCTCCTGCCGTAGGAGCTGTTTCAAAACATTCAACACTGGCCTTGAAATTCACCAGTTATTGAGTTTATATTTGACTCGTTTTTGTACTTGAAGATTGTTAGCCAAAAAGCAGAAATGTTTACAGTAAATGGTAATGTGTTTGGCAACACAAGTTAATAACTAAAATAATATTATTTTAATTATATTACTGTTAAATAAATCATTATTGTAATGATTTTTAGGTGATATATACTTTTTATTTTTTTACTTTTGAAGCATTATATGCAAATAGACTTTAGAAATGTTGTCCTATTGGACTTACATGGAAGAGTTACACGGGCTGAGCGATAAAGAATATTTTAATATAGGTTATGTTCACATTGATTCTCAAGGTCTAACAGACATGTTAATTTTTGTTAACATTACCTAACCCCGTCAATGGTAAATTAATTTCATGCTAATATTTTTGGCCATATTGCCCAGCCGCAGTCTCTCAACATCTCAGCTGTAAACAGACTTTTCAAATCTAATTTAATTTAAATTAGATTTGAGTTAAACCTTTATCATTTTACTTGCTTTTTATATCTATTTTATGTTGAAGAGATTTCTGTTTGGGTTTTAGTCGTTTCCACAGGATTTCAAAGCAGACTGAACTGGAAGAGGAAGCTGCTTTCTGCCCATTGAAGCGAGTGAAGTCTGAATCTCTCTGTGTGTGTGTTTAGTTGGTGAAGGAGGTGGATAACGAGGTGCGTATGCGTCTGATGCAGTTTGTGACGGGCACCTGCAGGCTTCCGCTGGGCGGCTTCGCTGAGCTCATGGGTGAGTCTCCAGTCAATCCAGAAACTCATGCAGAAAAACACAAACACGCTTGTTTATTCCCCTCACCCGTGTGACACAGACACATCTGAACCCTCTTCTTCTGATTCTTCATCCTCCAGGAAGCAACGGACCGCAGAAGTTCTGCATTGAGAAGGTGGGCAAAGAGACGTGGCTGCCCCGGAGTCACACCTGGTGAGTGTTCAGGATGAAGGTAGGGTCACAGGCTGATGACACTCACGTCTCACTCTGTGTTTTCTGTTCGCAGCTTTAACCGGCTGGATTTGCCCCCCTACAAAAGCTTCGAACAGCTGAAGGAGAAGCTGCTCTTTGCGATCGAGGAGACGGAAGGATTCGGTCAAGAGTGATGAAGCGTCTTTCCTCTTTATGGCCACGCATCAGCCAAGTAAAACAAAACCATGAAACTTGCACAGATGATTACCAATGTAAATAAGCTATTTTGTCATTTTAAACCAAATCTTTATCTTAAGACCTCATTTAGCAATCGTCATAACATGATTCCCCATGAATATGGAAGCGTTTGAGCTTTTCTGATCTTTTCGATGCTGGTATCTATATACAACGATGCTTCGTTTTATTCATTTGGCGGGTTTGTAAAATGAGTCTGAAAAAAAACATTAGAGATGATTTTATAGTAGAACTCAAACTTACGGCTCTAGTTTTATAGAGCTTTTACAGAATGATTGTAGAGTTTGATCAGGTGCCTGGGGTTTTTCTTGATTAGTTTTGTGTTGTTGGACACTGAGTTGTGATGAAGCGCTTGCATGGCTGCCTGCAGACTGAGAGATGATTGGACTCCTGTAGACCGCTGTCTCACATATCATTCATCACGACTGGCTCTCGACAGTATTGGTCTCTCTCTGCACTCGCTCAGAACATCAGTTGTGCTCGAAGCACTTCACTATTTCTGTGGCCTTTGACCGTCAGGGGAGGAAAACTGTCCATGAATATCTTTCATATTAAAATATATGAGTTCAAACAAACTCTGCTGTCTCTTCGTGTTCTTCAAGCACTGATGGAGATTCCTGTGGGGGTTTTTTAGATTCTTTAATTGCATCTCAACACAGAACTCTGAGCCCAGCATAAATATATATTCAAGTTTGTTTGAATTTCATTTGCAGAGAGAACAAAATAGTCAATTTGTTAAATAAATTTTTGTTAGTTTAATTGCTTCCAAAACATTTGAAATCAGATTCATGTAAATAAAGAACAAAAACCATGTTTCATAAGTTTCCGTGTCTTCAAAGGTGGATGGACGATTCTGTGAGAAAACTGAGGTAAACTGAAGTATTCAGAGAAGTATCCAGGTGCACACGTGTGTTAAAAGAGTTTGATAAAAATCCTCATTACTATACGATAAACAGATTAGTCACATGTTAAAGCTTCACTGAGTGATCTTTGCTCTGCAGTCAGTCCAGGGTCTGTTTGCGGTGAGCATCGTATCTAAACATTCAAGAGTGCTAGAAATACACCAGTACTAGTCAAATACAGTCTGCATTACATTTAGACATCGTCCTTTCATTCAGCTTCAGATAATGGCAGACACTTAAGAGTCTAAAATAGCGAATGATAAATCGCCATCATACACAAATCAATGGTAAGTCATTACAAAAATCAATGAAGGCATCTCTGGGTAACTGTTAGATCGCATCGGGTCTGATTTAGCTGCTACTCATCATCCGAGTTTCTTCAGCAGCTCCAGCGCTTCCTTATGAACCTGCATTGGGCCAAATGTGAACATTACGCCTCTGCAGACGATATAACATGAATATAACCGTGATCAAACTGTGCTTGTGAACCTGTTTGTCTTCTTCTGTGACTGCAGGATAATCTCGTGCTTTAGCGAGCCACAGCGCCGCCCGCTTGACGTCGCTCAGCATCATGTATGACTTTCCCAGCATCAGCAGGTTCTTGCTGTAGAAATTTGGGTCAACTAAATCCAGATATTAAAATGTTAAAGTCATGTGTAAAATAATTAAAAACAAGATGAAGGTGTTTGCATTCATACGGGACCTTCTTCAGCTTTCAGGAAAAATGCCAAAGCCTGAGGAAGACAAGACATTTATTACTCCCACAGCTTCAGTGCTCATGTAAGCATCTACATCAGTGTTTCCCAGCCGTGTTCCTGGAGCACTTTGTCTGACGGTCTCTAGTAATGAGCTGAGGATCTCATTCAGCTGTGTTTGATTAAGAAGACATGGACAGCGTGCAGTGTTGGGGCTGCAGGAATGTGGCTGGGAACATATAATTATTCGTTTCATTGACCTCTTCATAAGTGGCTGTTGGAGGAGATGCAAAAATAACCGCTGCAACTTTCCGCTGGTACCACGCTAATTCAGCGAACGCAAAACACCTGCAAGCCGGGCAAACACAGTCAAAGGAACGGTCATCATGTTACGAAAGTTCAATATGGCCAGTGATGTGCAAATGTATCTGTTTATAGCAGAATACAAACTCACCAGTAACCAAGAATATGGATGGACGTTGCATCTTTTGGATTGAGTTCAATCGCTTGCTGTAGAAATGAGCGTTAAGATGTTTTATTCATTCAGTGAATGTGACCTAACTGGTGTGGTTATTTAATTCACCCCAATTAACATCTTGCCTCTAAATGGTTTCTGATGGTGTAGGAATTTCCTATTTTCACTTTGATCCCTTCATAATCACCAACATCACTGAGGCAGATTGCAAACCACTGCAGACGACAGGGTGATAAAACATCTAATATTTGCTCAAACACTGCAATACACATTTACAAACAGAAATGATCACCTACTTTGTGTGCTGCAAAGCAAGCCTGATTTTTCTCCAGAGCTTTCTTAGCGTAGTCAAAGGCCTCGTATGTGAGCCGTTTCTTCTCGTCGGCGCTGATGCTGGACAGTAACGCCAGATCACGGGACCCTCGCGCCAAACGCCACAGAAACTCTGCATCATCACTGCGAACGGAGAGATACCTTCACTGTTAATACGGCCTTTATGTCATCTAACACACTGCTGATGTTTGTGTTCTGGCTGAGAATAAGCAGAAGCGATCCTCTGTCATCCTGAACCGTTGAGTGTGAAGACGGCCAGATTTCACTCAAAACTGTTGATAACTGATACTTGCAGAGATTTCACATTTACCTACAGCTTCAGGTGAGTTTTACCTGCCTTTGTACTTTCTCGGGTTAGTTTTACCTGTCTTTGTATTTTCTCGGGTTAGTTTTACCTGTCTTGACGCTCTCTCGGGTTAGTTTTACCTGTCTTTGTATTTTCTCGGGTTATTTTTACCCGTCTGGACGCTCTCTCGGGTTAGTTTTACCTGTCTGAACGCTCTCGGGTTAGTTTTACCTGTCTGGACGCTCTCTCGGGTTCGTTTTACCTGTCTGGACGCGCTCTCGGGTTAGTTTTACCCGTCTGAACAGGCTCTCGGGTTAGTTTTACCGGTCTTTGTATTTTCTCGGGTTAGTTTTACCTGTCTGAACGCTCTCTCGGGTTAGTTTTACCTGTCTTTGTATTTTCTCGGGTTAGTTTTACCCGTCTGAACGCTCTCGGGTTAGTTTTACCCGACTGAACGCGCTCTCGGATTAGTTTTACCCGACTGAACGCGCTCTCGGATTAGTTTTACCCATCTGAATGTGCTCTCGGGTTAGTTTTACCCGTCTGAACAGGCTCTCAGGTTAGTTTTACCCATCTGAATGTGCTCTCAGGTTAGTTTTACCCGTCTGAATGTGCTCTCAGGTTAGTTTTACCCGTCTGAATGTGCTCTCAGGTTCGTTTTACCCGTCTGGGTTAGTTTTACCTGTCTGGACGCTCTCTCGGGTTAGTTTTACCCATCTGAACGCTCTCTCGGGTTAGTTTTACCTGTCTGGACGCTCTCTCGGGTTAGTTTTACCCGTCTGAACGCGCTCTCGGGTTAGTTTTACCCATCTGAATGTGCTCTCAGGTTAGTTTTACCCGTCTGAACGCGCTCTCGGGTTAGTTTTACCCGTCTGAACAGGCTCTCGGGTTAGTTTTACCCGTCTGAACAGGCTCTCAGGTTAGTTTTACCCATCTGAACGCGCTCTCGGGTTAGTTTTACCCATCTGAATGTGCTCTCGGGTTAGTTTTACCCGTCTGAACGCGCTCTCGGGTTAGTTTTACCCGTCTGAACGCGCTCTCGGGTTAGTTTTAACTGTCTTTGTATTTTCTCGGGTTAGTTTTACCCGTCTGAACGCTCTCTTGGGTTAGTTTTACCCGTCTGGACGCTATCTCGGGTTAGTTTTACCTGTCTGAATGCTCTCTCTCGGGTTAGTTTTACCTGTCTTTGTGGCGCACCAGGAGCTGGTGGAGTTTCTGTGTCTCTCCACAGCTGTACAGATAATCTGCTTGTTCTAAAACTTCTTGAGCTGGACAGAGAGATGCAGTTAAATAAAGCAGCAGAACTAAGACTTCATTTACAGCTCAATGTTGGAAAAACAAGCAACACTACCTGAGTCCAGCGCTCGAACCGAAGAGAAATGAGCGACTCTCTCGTAGATCAGGAATGACAGTGGAGTCACAGTCACGAGAAACAACGCTTTTCTGTTCTGACAGTCACAAAACACACAACACTGCTCACAAATACAAGAACTCTAGGATATGGGTCTTTCACCCATATCCTCATGTGCTGCTAATAAAGCTAATGTGTGTTTCTGTGCTGTTCCTCCAGCAGCCGGCGCTCTCGCAACACACTGCCGTAAAATGATTGGCACTTGTCGCAAAATAGTCCTCGCCTGCAATAAAAAGCTATAATTTTCAGTCTGTTAAAATGTAACCTCACGACGACAATAAAAACTATAAATAGTGCAGAGAAGTCGAGCGAGAGGAACAGCGCGCAGCATAATGAGTCACGTGACGCGTTATAAGCGCACTAGAGATGACGCCTGCGTTAGATGCGCGTGATTCTGTTGTTGTTTGTAACCACGGCAACCAAAGGCCGCTGGTAAAACAGTTACTTTGTCACTATATAAGTATACAATAATAGAAACAATGTTGCGTTTGTTTAAAATGTAAAACGTATAAGATCAGGATCGTCCCGTTTCATTGAGGTGTTAATAAAAGCGCGCTAGTGATTAATGTGTGGAGAAATGAAGAGTTCACTGTGTGGCATTTTACATCCATTGAATATGTAAATAATGCATTTGAATCAATTCATTGGTGAATACAGCTGTGGTTCAGTACGTAAATAATTTTGTTAAAGCTAGATTTTATTTCTTATCCTGAACAATTACAGAGAAGCTATCTTGACCTTTAACACACCAAAATTACAGAAACATTTTTATTTATTCAACATTGTAAGAATTGCTGTTATGTTTATTCTGGAAAAAAAATCACCTTTATGTCAGAGTATTGAAGATCATGAAAGATCTTCCAATGTGCTGCGTCTTGAATTTTAAAATATATTTTTAATTTTGTTGTAAAATGGCGCTTGCTGTGCAGGTATGCTGTACAGAGAGCATGTGTCAGGATGGAGGTTTGTGCTGTGATATATTCCCTGTTCTCTTGTGCTTTGAAAGGACTTTCTGTCCTGTGTCTGTGTGTCAGCAGAGTCACTGAAAGAAGCCTGCAATGAAAAGTCCCAAAAACCAGGTGCAAGATCTGATGCCATGATTTCTTCTGGGACTGAATGAAGCAGTACAGCACATTAGGGCTGGGGTTAGGGTTACCATAACCGTAACACTGTGTGCGATTCCTTCAGCGTTTGGTGTTCAGAGTGTCCTGACGTCTATTTCATCTGTGGCTTGCTCCTCAAGTCCTCGTGATGGCAGAGAGAAAGTTTGGACCGTGACAGTGAGAAAGGGACAGGTGGTTTTGTGAGTGGATGCTCTGTGCACAATGTGGATGTTTTTGAGTTGGTTTTTGTTCTGTCTCTCTGTGAACAGATGTGGACAGTCAGTCAACAAACCAGCTGACATTCAGACGCGCTCACTATGTGCAGGACTGCAAACAGCCACCCATCAGTAGAACTGCACATGGTAATAATGAGACGCCTGCTCTGAACAGCTCGAAAGAAGAATAATCATTCATGTTGAAATACTGACGCGTTCTGACACTATGAACACGCACGGGATATTTGAGCAAGAGCATTTGAGAACAAATCAGTAAACGAGGGACAATTTCAGATCAATACAATATCAGTGCATCTCTAGTTTCTATGATGTGTACACTATATTAATAACAGTTGTGCACCAAAATTTTAAAAAGAGAAAATACATCAACCGTATGAATGGAAACTGCACATGTAACAGATCTGGTAACAAAGTCTGCCATGAAGCAGCAGCAGCAGCATGTGAAATGATCTCCGTTTAATCCGGTTTAATCATGTTCACTGTTACTCTGCTGGAGCCTGTTTTCATGATCTCACCTCCAGTGTTTGTGAAGAACATCCTGATGGCATCCTTCAACCCTTATTCCAATTCAGTTGAACTTTTATAATAATATCCTTTACTTTCTTTGCAGGTGTCTTTTAATTCAAATACATGCTGCTCTGAAGCTCTAAACACAACAGACCGAGACTCTTCACCAGGCGTTCTGTGTGAGACTTTACATTCATGCCAACATTCTTTCATATATACTGCACTTAATACTTGGTTTTTTTTCTAATGAGGGGCTGAGGACTGATGCTGCTTTATGAAAACAAGAGAAGTTTAGGGCACTTTAGGAGATAGATGCTGCCCATTCTCATTCTAGTTCATTTGAGCAAACGCTGTGGGAATCCTGTTCTTGTTTATCCCAGTGGATCAGAGGAAATGCTTTCTTTTAAACAGTTATTTTTGTACCTAAGTTTTTCAAGAAAGAATGTATTTATAAATGAACAGTAGAAATAGAATTATAAATGAACAGTAGGAATATGAAACACTGAATACCTTGAATGTTTTAATGCCATCAGTTCATCAGTTTCAGAACTGGTCTTATTATTTTGCTATACGTTCAAAACAAACTAACTTGACTGAAAAACAACAAAAGACAAACAAGCCCTTCTGGTTATACTCGAGCAGACCGACGTGTCTCAGGCTTTTAGTTGCACAATTTGTTTAATAAAAATGAAACTGCCATCAGTCCATTCCCTGAGTTTTGTGATGAAGACTTCTGTGTGTTTCATCAGAGCTGACGAGGTCCGTCAATCAATCCTGTCTGATATATAGTGATTGATTAGCTGGTCACATGCACTGTAACTGTAATCCTTCTACAAAACCTAAAAGAGGGATTACACAACTGAGAAAACACA